CCTCATCAGAGATGCATGCTGTAACTGGATGCTTTTTCAGCTTCACAGAAGACATCTTTAGTTGTGAAAATTCATCATTTGAGCTTTCAGCCTCCTTTTTTTTTAGTTTTTCCTGCTTCTTGACCTGCAACCACGGCTGCCACACAATTCTCATTTTTACTGAGCTTTCAGATTTTCGTAGTGCACCCGTTTCCCTCTTTGCTTTTAGTTTCTGACGACAAATCTGACACTACTAGGCCTGTTTAAAAACAACTAAGTCCATCCTCCATTGCACTTCTTGCATATCTTGTGGATTTAAGGTGGAACAGCATCAACAGAGGTCACCGTTTGATCGTATAGCTGCTTGAAAACGACACGTGAATGGATTCAGATGAGGGTAACGGCAGCGCACTTGAGGGAGCTTTTTCTTGCTTTTTAAATTGTTTTAGTTCTTCCACAGTCTTAACTTGTTTTCCTGGCCACCTCCTGTAAAATTAGGTATTTTTGGGGGTGGGGGCGGGTGGAGTAAATCTAGTCTTAAATTAGGATTACGGACTAGTGGCTTCTAAAATTTAGGTCCACTGCGAGACGCAGCATCTAAAATTCTCATGTTGGTCTAGAATAATCTTAATTCCACTTTAACCATGATGAATCCCCGCCTGTTCACAAAGCCTTTGATGTGTTTTTGGATTAAATTGCTGTGTTTTTTTTTGGTTTTTTTTTAATTGATTTAAAATTGAGATTGACTGCATTGAATGGGGTTCTGTTATGCACATTTCCAGCTCCATGTGTCCTTTTTTTCTCTGGCTTTGCATGATTCAGTTAAAAATAATCCTTATTTATCCTATCCTGGCCTCTGGTGCAGTTTATTTCATCCACTGTCTCAAATGAGCTGTTACAGCTCCTGTCCCTTTAAGACAGCTGTCCTCTCATTGGCTATCCCTGACAAACTGATGGTTTCAATTGTCATCTATATTAAGGCTCGCCTTGACATCACACAAAGCCAGGAGTAGATAAACATGTCTGAAACAGTGCTTCTGTGTTAAACTCTGAGTTTTTTGGTTCACAGAGAGGACGTGTACATATGCTGGATCCACCACTGTAACAGCACACCAATGACAGACAATAATGGAAATAATAATGTAAAGCCTGCTACAAGTACGTGAAGTTAGAGGCTGTTGTGTGAAGTAGACACACTTGGTATAAATACTTGGTACTAAAGGGTTTGAGGAGAAAAATCTTATGGGATCCTGGGATGAAAGCTTTGGTTGTTTCCTGCTAAAAGTACATTCTGCACCTGGAGACATGGTAGTTTTTCTTGCTTGGTTGAACTCTGAGGAACAGAAACAACTAAACATGCTTGTTTGCGGGGACTAGACTATCTGATTGAATAGTACAGTAAAAAAATTTTGTACTTCATATGTTACAATTTCAAAAAAAAAAAGAGGATGTTGTACATAGGGGTAGGAGATCGATGGACTGACAGTCTCTCTCTCAGGTTAATCAAACATAATCAAACCTCATCTGTTGTACTTAACAGCCACGCTGTCAGTCAGTCAGCCGCTGGCTGGATTGGATTGACCCACGGCTCAGTCTTGTTACCATCCTGTTTAAAGAAACAACCGGAAAGTAGTCCTGGTATTCAGGAGGAGATTTTTGTTTAGTTTTATTCTATTCTTTGAAAATGTGAAGTTGCATGAAAGTAAATGTAACAAAGTTTGAACAGAGACTGGATCTGCACTCGGTGGTCATATTCAATCCAGGCATGTGGGCAGTTAAAACAAATAATCATAAAGAATTTAAAAAGGCTCACTGGGAATAAAAAAATAAAAAATAAAATAAAATAAAAATCTTGTGTGAAAATGTAATTTTTGGAAATGAGCCTGAATTTAATTTACTTTGAAGTCAGTGAGGACTTAATTTTTATTTTTTTTAATGGTTCCAGATACAAAAAATTCCAGATACTGCTTTTGGTCTTTTCTCAACATGTATATAAATATATATAAATATATAAGCTGTTGTGGATCCATCTTCATTTCTTGGCCTTTTACAGGAGAAACACTTTTTTAAACATGATGTTAATAAAAGACAAAAAAAAAAACCCTCTGTGTTTGAGAGTGAGTGTTCCAGTCCTGTCCGTAAATGACAATGAAAGGGAAAACTAAGTCATTCTGCCTTGTCAGTGTTTTATGTTACAAATAATGTTACGAATAAAGGAAAGTTGTTTGACTTTTCAAGAAATGCCTCCTTTTCTTTTCTTTTTTTAAACATGAGTGAATTTCCATCAGGAAAAGAGGATATGTATGGAAAGGTTTAATATATTTTGTATTTTTCTTTTTATAGGTAATTATTCATTATTATGTGCCAGGAAACCAGTTTTTCAGATTTTCATTATGCTGTTGTTACACATGTAGCTGCGTCAAAATGTGTTAGGGTTGCCGATTTGCCTGTATAGACCAGTCGCTGATGCTTAACATATAGGTGTGGTGTATATTCAAAACATATAGAAAGCACTGTGGCGTGATTTAAAACAATATGTCAAATTTGACCTCTGACCTCTCCTCCAAAGTCAGTAGAACTAAAGGTCAAATAAATAATTGTTATTTAGTTTCTTCCTATCACTGTTTTTACTGACAACATACAGGTACATATGGAATTTTATATATTGGGATTCAAAATATTTAAATTATAATTTGCATTCAAATACATGTCACATTTGACCTCTGACCTCGCTGTTCTAGCTTTCTTTCAAGTTGACCCTAAAATGCAACCTTAAAAGAAAAAATCCTCTAACAAAAGTACTGTCAAGAGAATGAGCTGCCTATGTGAACCTCCTTTTTAAGATTTTAAAAATATCTGTTTTATCAAAATGAGTGATAATTAATTTGATAAGTACTTTTTTTTTTCTTTCATTTTTACGCTGCACAGATTTCTGTGCCGCTTATGGAACTGTCTGTGTGGCTGTAAATGTTTCGAGGGGGATTCCTTTTCGCGTCGCACAGAAACCGGACGCTGTTGGTACATTAGCTGCAGAAAAAAATGTCATAGTTGAGCCGAATGAATGGATGCTGTGAGGTGCCTTTGCTCACATCTGTCCAAAATGACATGAAGCTCTGAGCTTCCATCGCTCAGCTCCGCCGATTGTCGCCTCCGGTAAGAAAAAAAAAAGAAAAGAAAAAAATGGGAATGTTTGTGCTTGTCTGGTTAATACAGCTTAGCTTCCACTGGTTTATCATTGAGTTCAATTTAGATTCATGTTATTCGACCTCGTCAGGAGTTAGGCCACACGGACCCGTGCACAGCTTCAACTTTTCCTCAGTTAGCTTCTCAGAAACGTCCCGCTGCATGGGAATGCTTTCCCTCTTAGCTTGTTAGCAAGCTAAATGTTGCTTGTGTCAAATTGGGTACATTTGAACTCAGTTTAGCTCCTCGGTTACAGACTGCACAACTTCATCAGAACATAAACAACTGGATTAATAAGAAAAGCGTGAACAAGTTGCACTTTCTGTCAACTTTCAGCTAGTCAGGGCACCATGGCAACGAGGATGAAGCTAAAGCTGAAGACTGTATTTTTGCTCTACTTCATGGTCTCGCTCCTGGGCCTCATCTATGCACTGATGCAGCTCGGTAAGTGAATCCTACCTATGAGCAGAATTAATTAATAATGGTAAAAAATTTCAGCATCAGCAGGTGTAAAGGAGTCAAAAATGTGCAAACCTGAGTGGCAGAGCTTCACTTTGCTTTGATTTGTTTGTGCAGGCCAGCGCTGTGACTGTACAGAACATGACTTCCCTAAAGACCGCACCATATCTCGGCTGCGTGGGGAACTACACCGTCTTCAGGAGGAGATGAGGAAGTTTGAAGTAACAAAGCAACCTCAGAAGCAGCCAGCCAAACCGTCCCTGCCCACCATCTTTGTTATCACGCCGACATATGCAAGGTAGTCTTCCAAGCGACCGTTGCTTGGTGTCCACCCTCCGCTGTGCATTCCTGCACTGATCTCACCCTCTCTCCGATTTCCATCTGTTTACAGGCTGGTGCAGAAGGCCGAGCTGACTCGTATGTCCCAGACTTTTCTCCATGTCCCTCGACTCCACTGGATCTTGGTGGAGGACTCGCCACACAAGACGCCTCTGGTGACCGACCTGCTGATGAAGAGCAGCCTGACCTACACTCACCTACACATGCCCACCGCCAAGGACCGCAAACTACAGGAGGTTCGTTCAATTTTATTTTATTTTTTGTCTTATCCATGCATGTTCTTGCAATTTTTTTTTTGTTCCTTATTTAAAAACACTGAGTCATTCTCCTGCTCAGGGTGACCCCAGCTGGCTCAAGCCCCGTGGAGTGGAGCAGAGAAACGAAGGGCTACGGTGGCTTAGGGAGGACAGGAGGGCTCAGCCAGGAGGGGATAACCAGCAAGGAGTGGTGTACTTTGCTGATGACGATAACACATACAGCCTGCAGTTGTTTGAGGAGGTGGGATATTTAAGTGTGTGACTATGTTTATTTCTTTCACTATTAGGCTTATTGCTGATGCCTGCGAACAAATGTCCTCTTTTCCTCAGATGAGGAGCACACAGCGGGTGTCAGTTTGGCCGGTGGGCCTGGTTGGAGGGATGAAGTATGAGAGGCCTGTGGTTGAAGGAGGAAAGGTAAGGTCATTGACATTTTGCCATGCTGCTGTTTTAAAGATGCAAAAATCCCCTGCATCTAACTGCACCTAAGAGCTAAGCTTTTTCATTTGATCTAAAATACTGAGATCATATTTACGATGGTTTGTTTAAGGTTGTTCGCTTCCATACCGGCTGGCGTCCCAGTCGGCCCTTTCCGATCGACATGGCTGGCTTCGCCGTTTCCCTTAAATTGGTCCTGGCCAATCCAGAGGCATGCTTTGACGGAGAGGCACCAATGGGCTTGCTGGAAAGCAGCTTCCTTCAGGGACTGGTTACCATGGATGAACTGGAGCCCAAAGCAGACAACTGCACTAAAGTACGTGTGTGTTAAGAGATAAGAATGAAGACTTGTCTATAATTATTTTAGAACAGATGATTCAGTGTGAAATGCTTTGTTCTGAAGTCTTCAGTCTTTTCTCTTTATGATTTATGGAAATTGCAGAAAAAGAGACCTTTAAGAAAGAAGTGTTCGTGCATTGGCATTTGCAGTAGTTGCATTACGATTCTAGTAACAGTTTATATATAAGGTCACGTGTAGTAATAGTGTGTTTGTGTGCTTTGCAGGTGCTGGTGTGGCACACACGGACAGAGAAACCGAAGATGAAGAGAGAGGAGGCGCTGCAGGCTCAGGGACTGGGTTCAGACCCTGCTGTGGAGGTCTGAGGGAAACACGTGCACATCAACACACACGCACACACACATGCACACACAGTGTGTGATTATATTCTGCTGTTAATGCTGCATACGTAACTGCATTGTAAATACTGTAAACACTAAAGTACAGAAGAGAACCTGGTTTTGAGAGACTGTTACACCCGGTTGTAAATATAGACGTGTACCGAGTGTGTGTTTTGTCATAACTGTGCTGATTGTATGTTAGTGTGTGCGTCTTTTTCGTTTTTGAGTTTGCAATCCTTGTTTAGCAGTACAGTCAGTGTCAATGTTAAACTGCTACCTGATGGGGGCGCCAGTGTACTAGTTTGTGAAGCCATGCTGCTGGAACACTGCGGCTTAAAGCTGGAGGGAGGGTGCGTCTCATAGCAGGGTCGTCTTGTATCACTTCTGTTTACTTGTAGCTCAGTTAGACGCCTGTGATGTTTCCCGTTCCCGGCAGCAGTTAGATGTTTTTATCAGGGGCTGGATGTATAAATGATGTGACAGGCAGAAACCGTGTATATACCTTTTCCAAAACATGGAGTGGTATTTTAAAAAGAAGGATTTGGGTTTTCATTTCATTTTTTAAATAGTGAGTTGAGTCAATATGATGATGAAGAAAGAAGGGGGAAATACAGACAACCAAGCTTTTTTTGTGAGTGTCTCATTCACAAACTGCCTTGTAGGGGGAAAATTACTAAATTTTATCATTATTGTTAGATGATCATAAATGTTTGTGGCTTCATGTTATTGTGGGTAAAATCTTTGCCTAGCATGCCAAAGATCCCCGGGTTGTGACTAGGAGGTGACACAGATGCAGCGTCGGGGTAGAACAAGCCAGTGAACTCCTATTAGCAGTCCCAAGGGTTAAGTCTGCAAGGGTGACCCCATGGGAAGTAAGGGAGCAGCTCAAAGGACCCTCGTGTACATTTCAGTAGTGTGGGTGTGATAATGAAGTAAGAAAGGTTACTTTGAAGGTGTTGGACTGTTTATTACCCCCGTTTTGCTCACACAGCAGATTTGGGCTGGTGATGATTTCAGAACTGAGATCACCAAACACATTTTCCTTTTTTTCAATTCTGGGTCTGAATTTTATGTTTAGTGATACTGAGCTGCGTATTTGAGCTCATGTCTAAGCGTTTTGTGCAAACTGTTATTTTTATATACAAATGATTAACAAGGGAAGCGTCTACTAGACTCTGACAGATACAGGACATTTGTGGTAGATACCGATATTTAGGGGGTTTAAAACAAAAACCTGATACTGATATCTAGAGTATGTTTTCCAGGAATTAGCCGTCTTAGCTACTTTACTGTGACAAGATTTCTAAATCACCTAGATCTTTTTCAGCTTTGTTTTGTATAAAAAACATGAAATGATACGGATATATCTGTGATATCGGCCGATAATATTAGCAAACAGTATATTGGACAGTTTTGATTGGACAGGGGTTTATATGGTCCCAGGTTTGGCTCTGGTCCCTCAATCACATGGATATAATGTGTACCCTGGTTTAGCAGTGCAGCCTTCAGTGTCGTTCCAGTTTTCAGGCCAAGGATCAGTTACAACTGTGCACTTAGTTCATGCATGGCTTCTGATTTTTGTGTTTGTAAGTCAATATTCAGGATGTAGATCCTTTTTTTTTTCTTTTTACCCCTAAAAACAAGTCATCAGCATCAAAGCAATGTCAATAATCTTTACTCAAACTGTAATAACAATGACTAGGATTAAGCATTGTAGAGCCAAGGCAGTGAATACTTACTACGTCTTTTTTAACAATAAAAATATCCATGACTGAGACGGTGCTCTCTAAACACGCCGAGCAGTGAACAAACCCCACGGACGACTTGCTGTTGCGTCTTTGTTAAGCCCTCAACAACCCGTGTTGCAGACAAAGTGGTGCAACTTAGCAACACGGGCACGACAAACACCCGTCTAATGGTTCCACACCCAACGCACAAGTTCTGGGCTGTAACTGGTGTCATCACACCACAGCTAGTTTAACCCAGTGTTTTGTGAGCAGCTTTAGTGATGCTTTTTAAAAACCACGCTCAAAGTGGAAACCATTTAAGGCAAATTAAACAAACATCTCTGCTGAAGCGCATATAAACGAGTTATGCAATAAACAAACACGTTACATTTCGACACTGCTGCGATCAGAAAAACACTTGAATTTGCCTCCAGCGGGCAGGAAATCCCTGGTACTTAAAGATTGCCGTATATGGAAACTGGAGCTGTGCTTCGTCTTCTTCCACACTCCCTGCAATGCAACAGACGCTGTAAAAACAGCTAGTGCCTGCTTACGTGTAATTAGTGCCTGTAAGTAACTTCTCTACTGGTGTATAATGTATTTATTACTGTTCTTTACATTGTACAGTGTGATCATGTCTGTCCCTGGCCTTGGAAATAAAAGTAATGAAAAACACGTTTTGTCACTTTTATTTGTCTCCAGTTCTTTTGAACTTAAGTGAAGCTTTTTTGTCTTTAAAATTAGTTTTTTTT